ATGAATCAGAACTAGCTCTCTAATGTTTTTTTTACCAAACTTGAATTTCCCAAGAACATTTTATTTCTTCACTATTTTTGAATGGATTCTTTTTAACTATTTCGTCCGTATTTACACATTTGGTTTGTTGGTTTTACAGTTTCACTTGCACAAAATTACATTTTACTCTCCTAGATTTTGGTCCCTTAGAAATAAAGTCACGACTTTTTTTTTTTAACCATCCAATTTTTTTTGTTGTTGGTTACTTTTAGCGTTACAAAAATTAATTATCTGCCATTGACTTAGCTATAATTTATGTAAAAGGGTAAGAAATGTATCACGTGATGTAAGTCGTTTCACCAGCTGGTGATTATTTCTCAAAATGACCCATCTAGACTTCAATGACCCATCTAGACCTCAATGAATCTATCCCCACCAACAATTCCAAAAACGATTTTATTTTGATACAAATTAACAATTATGTACGACACGATATCTCATAATTGTAATATTTACATAAATGTGTTAAAATATTTTAATAATTTAAATGTGTATGAAATGTTAATATATCGATCTACACATAAAGTACAATGTTGTACGATAATTCATGAGTTGTTATATCACCAAAGTAAATATGCAAATTAGAGGATAACCCACCAAAACAAGTCATCTTGAACATCTTGAACAAGTTAAATAAGGTCATCCAGGAAATGATGAAGTGTCATTTCGAATGTTTTTCGTCTAGGATCATAAAAGCTAAGAACATAACTAAACATCTCTATTATTCCAGTCTCATGCATAGCCTGGTGGCTAAAATGGTTGTGTGAGTCTAGATTAAATCCAACATTTGAAATGCTGATTTTCCAAACATGTACGTCTTCCTTACAGTGAACTTTGTCCAGCACGAAGATAGGCTTTTTAAATCTCTCACTTCTCTAAATCATAAAATTCCCTTTTCATCTGTTTGACCTTTAAGCAAAAACATAATTATTTTATCTTAGTTCCTTAAAAATTCCATCACGTTATAAAACTATTTTTTATTGTTTTACTAAAAGAGGTTGAAATAAGCCGAGAATAATAAAACATTTTCTCCTTAGAAAAGAAGTAATATTTTATAATCCCAATCATAAATAATGTAACCTATAAGGGTTGTTAGAACATCATCACTATTGCAACCATGGTAGCTGTGTGGGTGTGTCTAGGGTAAGAGAGTTTAATCCTTTATCACGTTAGATTACAATCACACTTTACTTTTTATGCATACAATATACAATTTTAAATGTGAAGTCTTTAAGAAAAAATATTACTGTAACTTTCCACAGACAATAAGGTTAACTCTAAGTAGAACTTATATTTGATATGTAAAACTTTCACTCTAAACAGATAAGACGAATCTTGTGCAACTGATTGATTTATGTTAAATTAGATAAAAGATTTGATTTCAAAAGTAGAATTTCAAAAAGACGAGCTAACGTAATAAAAATCACACGTACTCGTCTGGGACTGAAATTAAGAATAAGTAAAAACCGGTCAATTATTATATTTTCTAAGCTTAGGTTAGAACAGCACAAGGGCAAATGGATGAGGTAAAACTGTATTGCACCAATTTTTCACCCGTTTGCCTTGAAAATGGGTATTTAAGAACCAAACTTTTAAACTATGTGGAAACACTGACCATTACAACTGGTAAAGAAATTAGCTTTTATAGAATCTACAAGAATTATTCTCAGCTTATATCATAGCCCAGGTGAGTGTAAAGAAATTGTGTTGCACCAAAAGCCGTAGTCATGTCTGTCTGTCTTTAAAATGCGCATTTGAAACTCTAACTTTTATCTAAGTTCAAACATTAACTTTTGACCCAGGTGTGATATACACTACTCTCTCTCTCTCTCTCTCTCTCTCTCTCTCTCTCTCTCTCTCTCTCTCTCTCGCTTATAATGCAAGCTAAATCAGACTGATATTTATTCCGTTTAGTTTAGTCTAGCACAAGGCTTTATGGAGGAGTCCTTTGGAATATAGAGTTGGTAATGTTCTAATCTTCCAAGTGGAAGAAATGCTATTTGCCTTGAATACCAGCATTCAAAATTCTGACTTTTAACTAAACCCAAACATGAACCTATGGCACTGATGGGAAATATAGAACCAATTCAGTCACAAGGCAGATGCAATAAAGGTCACGTATAATTTAATTAATCATTTGGAGAACTAGTATTTTCATTTATTTTTTGTCTCTCCTCAGGTGTATGTTGCATTTGATGGTCTTTAAATTAGAGACTAAAACGACAAAGGTAAAGCTACTCATCTAAATGAGTCACTGAACAAGGACAAAGCAAAACCGCGTATGAGCGTCTAACTTGGAAATAAATGATGGTAAGGAGCATATCCCTTCCCAGAATATTTCCCTAATATATTGAGAAATAACATATTAAAAGTACCCAAGTTTTCACGTCGTGTTTTTCAATATGTCCTCCATAAATTTTCGTTTATTATTTATCCTTCTTATACTCTCCTTAAATTAGACTTCCTTCTGATTCACTCCACACCAAAACATGTTGTCCGAATGTGAACGATACGAAAAGAAAAAAAAATGTCGCTCTGTGCGCAGGGGTTCCGAGTATCGCGATCAGAAAACAAATACCAGAAAATATAAAATACAATTTAAACTTAGAAGCCAGTCACGAACATTGCCGTTGAAACAAAAGATTGACAAAAAACAAACAAAAAAACAAACAAAACAAAAAAAAACAAAAAAAAAAAACACCGAGTCACGTGTCATACGCTCTTACTGTTTAAAACTACCCGCTCGGCGACACTCAAAGCAGTACCCATGCAGTTGACGGGGTTCACCAGCGGGCCTCCTAATCAATCGACCTGGCACACAAGCTTCAAAGCAATCAACTCTCTAATCCTCCATGTCGCTTTCCTCGCCCCCCCCCAAATGACATTCCTCTTTGATACATTACACTGGCAATACAGGTCATTTTATATTGTCTCCTTTCCTTCCCGCCCACAGGCAATATTTTGATGTTTTCGTTTGTTACTCTTGCAAACATACGCAGTACATAACATCCTGAAGCAGGTTTTTCACGTTTTTTAATGTATTAGTTTTGTTTGGCAATATATTAAATGCTTGCCATAATTTTACAATCAGAAAGTTATGATTTTCAAGATGGCGTACAAGATGGCCACCGTAAATCCTTAAAACACTCATTAATCGTTCAATAGGTTTTTTGCACAGTATTTGGTAGTACCAAGTGTGTATCATAACATAATAAAGACTTACCACAGCTTGACAACTCAAAGTTTCTTTTACAAGATGGCGTCCAAAGCATAGCCTTATACATTTATTAAAGTAAACCTTTTAAAGGAATTAATGGATTTATTTTTATCCATAATTCGATTTTATTTCTTATTAGTATATACATTATACACTGTTCTGTGTTCCTCGAGAATCTTTAATAAAGAAAATGTATCCGTCGATAGGATTCGAACTTGCGTTCCCCTACTATAAGAAAATCCATCGCATTGACCAGCGTACGTTAAGACCGATTCAGTCACAAAAAAGAGTGTCTTTAATAGTTTAAAAAATGCAGTTGAGTTGATTTTTTCAGGATATTCCCTTAGTAAATAGTGGAATATCCTATTAAAATTCCTCCGATTTTTTCTTTTGCTTCCTTGTTTGTAACTAACATGCAACATAACTCTTTCACCAACTCGTCTATTTGAATTACATTTCAATCGAAAACCTTTGCTAATGATTCCGTACAATAGTACTACATCAATCAACAATTTTCCATGTTTAGCATTAGAAACATCTGCACAATATATTTTGATTCAATCAATTTATTTCGTAAGATTTGTTAAAAAAAATGCCAAGTAGAAATAAGATGTGCTGTCTTGCATTTCCTGGTGTTTGCCAAAGCGACTTAATGTTGCAAGGTTTACAGGATTGCTGTGGCATAATATAAACATATCTATTGATGACAACATTCTTACAACTAACATCTGGAAACATTGTCTGATGGAGGCGGGAATTGTTGAAGCAATTCCCAAGCAATGCATTTTGATCTGTGATTATTTTCAATATAAGTCAAACTAAAATATCGGAAGTAGTTTGCTTTGCTGACACTGTGGAAGGAACTACTTTGAAATCGCCAAACACAGTTGTATAACTAGAAAATGATATTTTATTTGATGAAATATGTAACAATTACACACATCTTGAGATGTTGGTTTGGCCCAAAGAACAACATGAAGTAAAAATCCTTTCATCAACATCGCATATAACATCTTTAGGAATTATACTATGACAATCAACCATGGAATTCAGTAGAATCCCAAAAGTAGTCTTGAATTATTTTCTTCATTTATCCATCGACAAAAAAAGAGATGGGACCTGTGGAGCTAATTCGTAGTATAGGAAAACTTCTATTTTCATATTGCATAATGGATAGCTGCTCGGATTGGGGAATTGGAGAGCAGAGTTCGAATTTCAGTCAGGTTCATTATATTCACTTGCGCGCAAATACATTTGGGAAAGGTATGAATCCCTCTCCCCCCCAGCTATGGGTTAAATACTAGGAATTTTATCTGGAGAAATGATTGTTATTCTCAAAAAAATTGTTAATGCAATATTCACTGGTAATAATTATTGTTACAATTCAAAATATGTTTCAGCTTTAATTAAGCCACAAAGGGTTGATAAGCCGTAAAAAACAGGTAGCAAAGAGTAATGGTCACCCTTGGAATATTAATAATTATAGTAATATAGAATTTTGTTTATAGATGAGGAAAATAATCTGTGGTGAAGTTTCTGCCCAGAGAATCTGTGCTTCGTAATAGAAAATATCTAAACAACAGTGTTTATATGACCTATGGAATACCGATTAAGAAAAGACTGTTCATTTAATCATGATGGGGAAAAGGTCAGTAATCAGGTTGTATTCTAAGTTTACCAACACTCCGGGTTTTTGTCGCTACAACTATGTTTATTTAAGGGCAGTGTTTGTGCGAAAACAAACAGTCAAAATCGAATGTTGAAGTCGATTGGAGCTGGGTGAAGCGAGTTGACAAGCAGTCGAGAGAGAGGGGGGAAGGACAGAGAGAGAGAGAGAGAGAGAGAGAGAGAGAGAGAGAGAGAAAGAAAGCATTCGCTTACTGTTGTAATAAGGGAGGAAGTGAACTCAAGTTATCTTCAATATTGGCGCAATACTGCCAGTGAATACCCTTATATCCAGAGAGTGAAATAATTACGGTAACTACTAAGAACAAAAAGGGTGAACTCGAAAACTACTTCTCTCCTTTCAAAATTATTTGCAGTATTGTTTTTTTTTCTGGTCTTTATTTCATATACACTACTTACTTGTAAAAGAAGCATTCTTTTTGTACCAATTTCTTCCTTATATACATAAACATAAATTTTTCTTTGGACTCGAATCGATTCGTTCATATTTGATTTTTCCGCTTGGTCCGAGTCTCGCCCCATCGAACTTGCTGGTAGACCAGCTGAATTTTCCGGGATCTACGATTTGTCAATTGCTTTTCAGGATCACAACGTGGCTGGAAAGTGAAATCGAATCGACATTGTGAACGAGAAACTTTGATTGAAATTGTAATACTGGACTAGGACTGGACCAACGGCCGATCTTGTCGAGTACATCAATCCAGCGGGGTCAGGATAGGTGTTATACAAATCAATCAAACCATTTCCATCTTTTGATGACGCAGCTAATGACTTGACTTTATCTTTCCGATGTCACCTCGCGTAAGACTTACCTGTCATTTTTCATTTGACATTTGCTTCAGAATTGAATGAACAATGACGACACAGATTTCCTAACATTCATTACCTATCCAAAAAGGTTTTGTTCAGTCTGTCTGCTACCAGAGCATGTAAGTGCGAGAGCGAAAACAGAAAGCAATGCTTGCATATTTCCATCACAGAAAACAATAAATAAATAAATAACTTTTATTTTATTCAGATTAAACACAAAATACTGCACTTCTGTTGTACAGATTGTTGATTTGACCATCAACTGATTTTAACAAATCAGGTAAAGATATATTCGTTTCAGATTAAAATAAATAATTATTATGAAGGAATGGCCCCATTCTTCCTTCTTAGTGCAATTTACTTATTTTGAAAAAGTAAGCAAATATTCAACTAGTAAAGCTGCTTGTTTGAACAATTGGAATTTTGTTTTCTTCAGTGGAGCAGTAATATTGTTAAAATGATTGCACCCAAGTTAAGAATACAACATGATACGTTGTTCAACTAATTGCATATTTGTCACCAATGTCAAAGGTCAGAATTCAAACCTGGGTCAGAATTTTAGAATCAGAATTTCAAATGTTGATTTTTCTAGCAAACATGTCTGCTGTTTGGAAGACTGGCCCAACATATCTTCCCTCCTCCCATCTGACCCTTTGTTTCTGTCTAAATTAAGATTTAACCATCGGCTACTCGAATATTGAAATGGTAAGATTAGCGACTTTCCATACAGGAAACATTCGACGTTCATTGACCGAAAGTTTAGCGTTGGTGTCAGTTGAAATTTCTAAAATCTTTCTCTTAAAACCGGTTTTCAGAAAAATAGGTTTCTCAAGTCATCTCTCTCTCTCTCTCTCTCTCTCTCTAGTATTCTTATCGGTTTCCTCCTTGCATTTTGTTTTAAGATAATGTGGAAAGTCAGCATCATGATTATGTCATTATTTTCCCTTTGATTTAGGTTTTTGCTGCTTTTAGAAGTGTTCAAATGATGTCTTTTTTTTTTTTTTTTTTTTTGTGAATCCGATCGAGTAGTGGGCCTCGACTGCTACTGCTAACACCGGATACCAGTCGCCTCTGCGTGGCGTCGGGATTCGGTGTTTTCGGCAAATGCTTGGCCAAAATGTTTGAGGGACAGACAAATGACGGCGGGAGCTTGGACGAAACTTTCTGCCACGGTGTCGAATTGAAGCAGTGTGGATCTTTTCTGTTTGGTCAGAAAATATTTTTATGACTTTTTCTTTTCTTGTTTCGGAAGTGGATGTGCAAAGACGGACGAGCTAAAATGAATCCAGTTTGTCTTATTTGAACAGTGGCTGTCGATGTGAGTACTTCTGCTTTTGTTGACGTGTTCTGACGAGCTACAACACTTCTGTTAGTAATCAAATCTTTAGATACATAGCAGAATCACCAGACGAGATGAGGCAACAATATTCAATACAAGGAAGAATAGTAGACTTATAAATGTGTAAGATAGATTCAGGCGAGAAAAAATTGTCTAACACGACACAAGACACCATAATTCCTAGCAACAAACTTCATTTAGCAATTGACTCGATTCTCATTCATATCAATGGCAAACATTAGACCGAGAATGCGCAATGAGTTTCTCTCCTGGAGGTTAGCATCAGCCATGCTAAGATATAGTGATAAAATTTTGTTATAAAAAATGTACATGAATTGTAGTTTAACATTTCCCCACTCTTATTGAAAGTTTATTACTTATATTAACTATGCTTATGACCAGTGGCGATTCTACGGGGTCAAATTCCTCCCCCGAATTTTGGCTGGCCCCTCGATTGCCCCCTCCCTTTCTAAGCTTAAAAAATTTATGAAACTGATCAGTCTCTGATTTTGATAAGATTTGATCTTCAGTATTTTTCCCTCTGTGTTTTCTTTTTCATTTAGATTTTTTTTATTATATTCACATCTGCAAAGATCAGGCAAAAATGGAAAAATAAGGACACATACAGAGACCAGTTTAGTGGTGACGATATCTCTGACTACGTTTAAATACAAAAGTATTTCTAGTTTAGAGATATCAAAATAAAACTCCTATAACCAAACCCATCTGCTACAAATTTTCCGGTTACCCGAGTCCAATCGTTCAATCAAGCTCACATTTTTTGAGCTAGTAGTAGAGTAAATTGATTCTGCTCTTTAAGAAGTAAATTTATTTGAATTTTGATGTAAAATAATTTACATTAACTTGGTATTTTAATGTGGGTATGTGTCAATCCAGCTGCTCTATTTGATGTTTTGTTTCAGGGTCATGGAGAAATTATATTATTTAAATTATTTACTTATTTCAAAATAGCTTCTTGATCGTATGGCCGGAGTTTGCCGAAAACATAGATTATTTTTTTTAGCTGATTTTTGTACGCCTCTATTACCCTCAACATTTTGATTGATTTCGTTGCATTATTTTATTTTTGCATTTATTTTTTTCTCGCATCTATTTTTTGTGCTTTGAAACAGTGTTTTGTAGAGGAAAAAAATCAGAGCAGACAAATTACACTGTTCTGTTGACGTTAGTATTAACCCTTTGATTTTGTTTTGAAGTTAACCTCTCTTGTGGTCCAACAACTTGAGAGTGGAAAAGAGGGCAATAATAGAATAGATTACTATGAATGAAAAGTTATTCTGTTTAATTTACTGAAGTAACATACTTATACTAAAACTCATTCCTAAGTTGTGTATACAATAGTAGTGTAGTATGAAAATAAAGACACTGCTTGAATTTGCCCCCTCTTCCGCAGAAAAACCTCGGCTCCCAAGTGTCCCCCCTCGCATTCAGAGTTTCAGAATCGCCATTGCTTATGACTAATTCCTAACGCTGCTATAACATTTCGAAATAAATCCGTGAACTTTGACAATATCTTGAAAGAAATATTTTTAAACCATTAACGTGATTTAATTCAGATTAAAAACAGATGCTGAAAATGCAAAATTTGTTGTGCCATTGCTTGAAATCAAAATTCAATTTGTATCTTTGAAGAGAAAGGAACACATGATCAAACAACGGATCCTCCCTTAACACATTTGACCCTCCCTTAACACATTTGACTGAAACATGAAAAAGGTTTCCCAATGAAACCTTGTTGAATTTATACTTCCTATATTCGGGGCAATTCTTGAACTGTTTGCGGCTTCTTTTTTCTTGACTTTCACGCGCTGCTGACGTGTTGAATCGAAACGTAAAATGCGCCATATTCGTTCATCTTCTGAAGCCAAGGCCGGCGTCTCTACGTTTTCGTAAGCTAACGGTCTTCTGCGAATAACGGCACCGTCGTACAGGATATTTTTTCTGTTCATAAAAATTCCTGTTTTTTTAAATAGATGGGTATTATTTTACAAAATGGGAAGAGGTTTTATCTTGACCTCTCTTCTCTCCAAAAAATGTAATGACTTTTTTCAATGTCAAACGAATCGATATAAAAACAATACATCCTTTTTTGATTAGAATTTTACGAATTTTTATTTTCCAGTTCGATACGGGTATCAATCGAGTTTATACATTTACTTAAGTATTTATTCACTTAGGTAGAAACGATTATTTTTTTGAAATTTTTATGATACAAATAGGAAATCGCAGGAGCTAAATCCGACTCGTTTTTATCGTGGATTACATTGAAAATGACTAGTTTAGATAGAAAGACCAAAGCAAAAAAGACAGTCGTATCTAAAGATGGAGATGGACACCAGCTGAGAATTGATCAGGAAGCAGCCATGCGAAAATTTCGAAGAAGACAACGTTCTATATCCGTGAAAACAATTGATTCACAGCTGAAGATTGATCATAAAATCCCAGGTAAATTTCAAAATATTCTTACCCAACATTACGTGTGAATTTTTTAATTGCTTGAACACAGGCCTCTCAACCAAAAATATTTGTTCATTGTTGATAATTCAATATTCAACATTTTTTTGATTTTCCCCCTATCACCAGACTTTTCTGTGTTGCATGAGTTAAAAAAGTAAGAAAAAGTAAAGAAATGGTTGATAATCCTACCCCGTAAAAACTTACTATATATGAACGGAGCACAAGACCAAAACAAATTGTATCTACGATTATTTGATGACGGAAAAATTGGACGAAAATTTAATAAATAGCCCCCGTTCTATCCTGGGTTACATAAACAGTTAATTTCAAATAAGTTACGAAATTAGCATAGCTTTCTTTGGCACAAGGCAACACATATGGGATGGATAATCAGTGTGAACTGAATTTACTAAATGATCAACCAGACTCGTCTCGTTAACTATTACTCAAACCGCCTGTATTAAGAAATGTTTACCCTGGTATACTAAAAATATAATTAAATAGAATAAAATTCAAATGTTTGCAAAATCGAGTAGGCAAGCTTTCTTGATACAAAGAAT